GTGGAGCTTTTCTTCCTCCTTTCCAGCATGACTGCAGCTTGCTAGAGCCAGAGCCAGGCTTCTCGTCTGCTTTGCCTGGGGTTTCATCTGTCAAAGAAATGAACAGCTCGTGTTGGGGACATATGCAGGGTGACAGGGACCATGAGCAGCGGCTGCTGAGATGGCTGAAGGCAGCAGAGGCTGCTTAAGGTAGCTCTATTACCTGCTGCCTCTTGGAATGGGTCCATTTCCCTCGCGTTTCTTGCTCTTTCACCGTGTCCTAATTTGACTTTGACAGTCCTCTCTGAGGCAGGTTTGCTGTTGGCTGTTATAATCTGGAGCAGGAGTGTGACCCTTGGGGGACACTGGCAGGACGTGTTGCTGCAGCCTTGTGTTGCACTCCACAGCCATGCAAGGGAATGTAGAGTTTCCATCCCTGTTCTTCTGCGTGGTGAAGGTTGGGTGACTTTTCTGGGCTGCTGGAGCAGTTGGAGCTGATGGGTGAGAACTTGCTGTGGTGGCTTTAGGTCTTCAAGCCACAGCGCCAGTCTGCGTTTCAGGAGTGACAGAGGTTGAGCTGCCATCTCCCCTGGAGCACAGCTGGGGCTGGGACCGAGGAGTTGAGGAGGAGGGAAGAGACCTGCCAGGTGGAGCTGGCTGAGGGACTGCAGCTTGGTGCTCAGCAGCCTCGGGTGTCAACCTGGCTTTGAGCTGCTGGACCCTGTGCAGCCTTTCAGAAAGGCTATTCCCGCTGCCTGGGACAGCCCCAGCCCACTCTGCCTGCAGGAGGGTGCCTGGGAGCACCCAGCTAGAACCCCCACCCTGACTTTGGGGGTCCAGCAGCCAGGTGTGCTGGCTGTGGCCAGGACAGCCATGCTGTGAACACAGCCTGCGAGGCGCGACGCCCGCTCCCTTCCAGTGTCCCCTGCCCAGGGTGGGTGCCCTGCTCCCGGGCTGGGGGCAAGGGGGTCTCTCCCTCTCTCTAAAGCTGTCATCTGCAACTCTTGCCACTGTTCCAGCTTACCTTGGCAGCACTTTGGTCCTCTTTAGTGTGGTCCCCAGCCTGGTTTGGTGGGTGTAGGCAGCTTCCTAGATCTTATCAGCTCTCTGACACTATCCGCCTTATAGGAAAAGACAAGGAACCCTTGCAGGAGCTCCCGGCCCTGTGACACATCTGTCTAGATGAGCGTTTAAAATGTCGTCACCTTTTTCCTGACTAAAATTGCTTAGGCAAAGCCTCGCCCTGGCACCCTGGGATCTCTGGGAAGTATTTTGGAAATGCAGAGGGTGGCCAGATGCAGGCAGGGGTGTGGGAGCTGTTTGTGTGCCTGTGGAGTAACCTGGCCGCCGCGTGACGCGCGGCTTCGCAATACCGCTGCCATCTCTTCCCCTCCCTCTCTCCTGGCTGAGCAGCAGCGTGCCAGGAGGTATGTGAGGAGCCGTGTAACGTGTTGGTGCAGAGGTTACAGCTGCCTCTGGGCCACAAAGCACCACACACCCATTTCTTTTAATTAAGAGGCTCCTTAAGACTAAGCTGAATATGTTGTACGGTGACCCATCCTTCCTGCTCTCCTTCCCTCCCCTCTGCGCACATGGTTTGTGGAAGGTGTAAACCCCACAAGGGAGCGAGAGCGCGTAATGCTGGTGTGAGGGGAAGGGCCTGGCACGTCTATGTCTAGTAAACACCAAGTGCAGAATAAAATGCTTGCTGCCTTTTAACCCCTGGTTCGCTTGGGTTGGCCAGGGGACGGTTGTGATGTGTGATCCAGGCTCTCCAGCCATTTGGAGAGGACCACCCATTTGCTCAGACCGTGTCTAAACCCCTCTCTTCTCACCCAGAGCACCCGTCTGGCGTGGCACTGATGAATGGCAGCGGCCCGCACGAGAGCCTCAAGGGTGAGAAGGAGGCCAGACAGAACGGCCACGAGGAGACTGACCCGGGAGAAGATGGGAACGACCAGGAGGTCATTGTCATACAGGACACAGGATTCACTGTCAAGATCTGTGCACCAGGGATAGAGCCCTTCTCCCTGCAGGTACCTCCCTTCGCTGGCCGGGGTGGGGAATGGAGGTGGCACTGGAGGAGGTGGAGGGAAGCAGTTGAGCCAGGGCACACACAGCACTGTCCTTTTAGCCAGGCAGGGAAGGGGACAGGGGACTGGAAGGCCCCTGTTAGCCCCCATGGCCTGGACAGTACCTTCAGGCTGCTCACAGCTCCCTGACTTGTCCCTCCTCTGATGAGATAAAGTGGGGAAGGAGGCAGCAAAGCATGGAGGGTGCAGGGGAGAGGCTGACTGACCAGTGGCTTCTGGAGGAAAAGGAAGGAAGAGGAGGCATGAGCAGCAGGCTGTCTGGCCCAGGCCTGCCTAGGCCAGGGGAGGGTGTTTTGCTCCAGGTCCCAGGTGTGGAGCAAGAGGAGGGGGAATTAGCTGAGGTGTAGCTGCTCCTTGTCCGTCGCAGAGGGGCTCAAATGTGGAGCTGGGCACGGCAGAAATGGCCTTCCCGCTTCTGGGCTGTTTTACTGGAGGGATGTGCAAACATGATTTCTGGCTCAGGAAGGGACAATCCCGTGCTTGCCCAGTGGTTTTGGCACGATGCTCCTTTGGCTTAACCTGGGTTTGAGACAGTGACAGCCGCTAGCGCAGCCCAGGGAGCTCGAGAACCAGTGTGAAGATCAAGGGAACGATGCAGTCGCTACTCCCTCTCTGCACAGAGAATTCTCCGTGTGTCATATGGACAGTGACATGTGCTGCCAGATCAGGATGGGCATTGACATGTCTAGCTGATACTCTGATTTAGCTTAATACTTCACTGGAAGCCATTTGAATGAAGTGTCTCTAATTTTGGGGAGAGGCATCTGGAGTCTAAACCCAGTGGGAAGTCTTATCTCCCCAAGAGTAGCAGAGATTGCAGTGATATTACATCCCCTGTGGAACTAGCTGTATCTTAGCCCAGGTTTTTTTTCTCCTTTAAATCGCCTTGGCTGTTAGTTTTAATAGGCTAATAATAGCAGGCCATGGTGTTTACAGCAGCTTATGTAAACTACACGGAGTCCTCCTGGCTTGAGAGCAGTGTCAGTGGTGCTGGAGCCGGAGCAGGGAGGTAGGAGAGCAGCCCTGGTGCACAGGCCGGGGCGGTTTCTTGCCTCATGGGAGCTCGTGCTCGCAGGCAGCGTGCCTAGAGGTGTGGCACTGGCGTGGATGTGCTGCACGGCGCCGCGGGTACTGTGGCAGATCAGGTGGAGGAAATGGTCTGTTTTCCATGTGCATCACTCAAAGCCTCACCACGAGTGCACAGTGTGAACGGATAAAGGAAGAGCCCTTGGTTTCCCCCACCACCTTCTGTTCCTTCGCTGCCCTCTCTGCCACCTCTGTCCTATGTGGAGTGCTTTGCGCAGTACCAGGCTGTGGCACCTCTGGGTGCCAAGGCCTGTGGGGTGGAGCTGGGGTGGCCGACCCTGTCAGAGGTGACAGTGCTCTCCCAGCAGGGACAGAAGTGATCTTCTGGGAGGGAGAGCTTGAGTCTGCCTTTCCAAGCCTGGAGAGTTACAAAAAGTGTTTGATTCAGCAGCAGAGGGACAAAGTTTGGCAAGGACATGTGTAAGAACCGAGATAACTGTCCGGGTTCTTCCCTTCTTAAGGTCTCTCCTCAAGAGATGGTGCAAGAGATCCACCAAGTTTTGATGGACCGCGAGGATACCTGCCATCGGACTTGCTTCTCTCTGCAGCTGGATGGCAATGTCCTCGATAACTTTGCTGAGCTGAAAACTATTGAAGGACTGCAGGAGGGCTCGCTGCTGAAAGTGGTGGAAGGCAAGTTCCTTCAGACTTCGGGAGGGAATGAGAGAGGGTTTTCACAGGGAGTGGTTTTGGCCACCTGGCAGCCCTGTCCTGGGGCTCCTTTTCGAGACCCGAGTGCTGAAGGAGTAAGAACTGTGTGATTCCAGTTTCTTTCCTCCCTTTTTGCTCTTCAGAGCCGTACACGGTGCGAGAAGCCAGGATACATGTGCGTCACATTCGGGACCTTCTGAAGAGTCTGGACCCATCAGATGCTTTCAATGGTGTGGACTGTAATTCATTGTCCTTCCTGAGTGTCTTCACTGAAGGAGACCTGGGAGGTACGGGGCAAAAAGGCTTCTCTGGTGTGGTCAGTGTTTTCATTCCCGACTCCATCATAACAATCACTTGTCCCACATCATTCAGGAGTGCAGAGAAACACTCAGAGCACTTCTGTGTTCCTCTGTGAGGAGGGAATGCTGTGTTTTTCAGCCCTGACATTCTATCTCTGTCTATTCTAGACAGTGGAAAACGGAAGAAGAAAGGCACCGAAATGGAACAAATCGACTGCACCCCTCCTGAACATATCCTGCCAGGTAGCAAAGAGAGACCCCTGTGTGCCCTTCAGCCCCAGAACAGAGACTGGAAGGTAGAGTTCTCCTGGTCATTAAAACAGCTATTGGCACATTCCTTGCAGCAAACTGGTGTTCGGGGATTGAAAGCTGCACTGAAGTGGACTTTGGGATTTGCTCTACTTGATGCTTAATAAGTGCTGGAGTAGCACTGCTTAGCCAAAAGAATAAAGTCCAAGAGCTTGTGTGCAAAACACTGGACACAGAGTCAGGACCTCTGCAGAGCGTAAAATGGCCAATCTTGTTGGGAGGGGTGGCAGGGGAGGGAGAGCAGCATTGCTCTGCAAAGTCCTGGAGACAGGATCTGCAGATCACTACAGGCTACCCTTGGCTTTCCCATACCCTCCCACTTGGATTCCGGTTTAGAAGCTGCCATTTGAAAACCAGTACAGCAAGAAATCCATGCCCTGTGCAGCCCAGAGGCCCCGGGTGTCTGTTTGTACCCGTGTCTCACGATGTGAAAGGCAGCAAACTGAGGCAGCTCAGTGGACTGCAGACAGCTCGAGGAAGCTGTGCTCTTGAGACCAGGTTTTTTTGTAAGCTCTGTTTCTGGAACCAAGCAAGGGTGGCAGGTAAAAGGAATCTGGCAT